TTCTGAAAGTAGGTATTGATGATCATCTGGATTTCTGGAGCACAGTTTTAAAACACTAAATCACTTAAAATCCTTTTCGATTCATTCATTTCTTCAACAGTGCTTCTGAGTGTGCTCATTGCATCAGCACTGTGTATCCAGAAGCCTATGATTCTTTGAACTAAGGAAAGAGAAGCAAGGGATTCTGGGTGCTGATGTTAACTAACTTACACAGAAAAGGAATTTATTGGAATCTGGTCAGGCTGTTCACAGACTGAGTGAGAAGGCTGAAGAACAGCTACAGAGATGTTGTTCATGCCTCAGGAATAATCTGGTTAGACAACAGGGGACAGTGGATGTTGAATTTCACCACACTTAGATGAATTCTGGTCTGCCTGCTTCTCTAGTTTCAGTACAGACTCTCAGATGTGAATCTCCAATTGCTTAGACTCGGTTCATATACCAGAGCTCTAGCTGCCTGGGCACTCGTGGGAGAGGGGTAACTGTGGACTGAAAACCAAGCTGTTATTGCTTCAGTAAGGGAGCTGAGGAGTCCTGCCTCCTATTCAAGATTGACACAAATGCCTATACCTTCAAACATGGAAAGAAGTTTAAATGTTGGACCTATACATATCTGCTTTCTCCCCTTATCAAAATACCAGAAGATTTCACGTCTCATTTTCTACTCTCAGAAGTTACTCATCACAAACTCATTTTTTCCACTTACTTTGTGTTTTGCAAATAAGACTTAGAGATATTAAATTAACTTGCTGAAGAATTATATGTACTAAGTGGAAAACTGAGGTGAAAATCCTGGGTTTTCTTTTTTTCTTCACATTTTTAAAACTTTCTATTACAGAAAATTTCAAAAATAAAAAAGAAGAGAGACAAAAATAACAAAACAACCTAGTCACCATCAGTTACTTTCAGCAATTATCAACTCAGGGCCAATCATTTCATCTATGCTCCCACCTACATTCAGATACCCACCACTGGATTTTTGTTGTTGTTGTTTGTTTTGGCTTTGATTTTTTTTGGTACCAGGGATTGAACTCAGGTCCTTGTGCTTGCAGGGCAGGCGGTGAAACCACTGAGCTAAATCCCCGGCCCCTCACTGAATTATTATGAAGCTAATTTTGTCCTGAAAATATTTCCATAAGATCCTCTAAAGTATGTTAAATCTTTTATAAAACCCATAATGCCAATACCACATCACACTAAAAAATTAGTAATAGTTCTCTAATGTCATTAAATACCCAGTGAGCATTCAAATTTCTCCAATTGTCTTATAAATTTTTATGATTAGTTTGTTTGAATCAAAATTCAAGTAAGGCCTATGTTTTGCAACTGGCAGGCATTATTGTTGTCATAATTTAATTGTTGAAAACTTGAATCATTTAGTTTCCCACATTGCAAATTTTGCTACTTGCATCTCAGAGGTATCATTTACCATGTGCCTTGTAAAGTCAGGCAACTCTACTCAGAGAGATCAGACTACAATCTTATGCTCCTCCCTCAAGATATTGCTATGATTATCTAATGTTCTATAGGTACCGGGCGCTTTGGAGTTGTACAGCCAAAAATATGTTTCATTTCCATAACTTTCCACAATCCCTCCATTCTCTCAGTGGCTTCTTCTGTAGGTTTCACACAACAATGGTCTCCTATTCCTTCTTTGCATTTTCTTTCCTTTTAAGGAACACATAGGAGATAAACAATACCCCCAGAAATGTGAGAACCCTCCCTTTTCACACCCGCAGCCCCTTTCTCCTGGCCAAGCACACACAGAGCTGAAACGCTACTACAGTATCTGCCAAGGTACCACCTTGAGGCGACCAAGCTTCCAAGAAGAAGAAGGAGAACTGAAAAGGGAGGAGAGAACTCAAAACTCCCTGAGCCCCACCATGGCACCCAAGCTCAGTTTAGAAGTTCGAAAACTCAGTAATGGCAGATTATCAACATCCCTGAAACTGGGTTCCTTACAGCCTCGGGGAGTGCCACTTCGAGAAAAGAAGGCAACCCAGATGGTGGCCATTGTACTTGGTAAGTTTGAGCTGGTGTGAGTTGGATTAGATTGGATTAGCTTTGGTTAGATTAGGTTAGTTGGAGCTGATAGTAGATGTTAGAGTAGCCACATTTGACAGAAATTAGAAATTCAATGACTATAATATTTATAAAATATTTTATAATACAACTGAAAAGATTTTGTATGAATCTTAACACTGGTGGAAATTCAAAAACCTAGTTGAAATTTATGAAGCTAAACAAGCCACCTAATTGAGCTATATTTTGCCATCATATGGAATTATATTGTATAAATCAAATCATGATTAAATAAAATATATGTATGTTGGATATTTAATAAATGTTTAATCATTTTAAAATATTAAGTAAAAATGAGGATGTAAAACACTACCGTCATATAACGTGATAGCATCTAGGTTACTTTAAATACAGAGAAAAAAGAGATGGAAAGAAATTCACCAAAATGTCAAAAGTGATTGTCTTTTAGTGGTTGCTGGTTATTATGTGTCTTTTTATTTTTCTGTATTTACCAAGTTTTCCATTATGTATACAATCAAGGCTAACTTTTATAGTAAAAAAAAGTATAAGCATTTTTAAGCAAAGAAATTAAAATTTTATGTCATCAGTGTTATATAGAGTTAAGGAAGCCAATTCATACTGTTCAGCATCACTGGCAAACCTCATGTTCTCATATATGAGGAACATCGGTAGAACTGCAAGATCTCTTCAACAGCAGGATCTGTGTAAGTCATGTGTGTGAGGTTTTTGTCCCTATCAGAGCCTAGGACCATATTTTGCATAGGCAGACACTAAATAAATGCCTGAACTGAATTGAGGAGAAATGACTTGTAAAGAACTACCCAAAAGCTAAAGTAGAAAACTGATATAGTAACAAAGGCCTGAAGTGAATCAAAGACATTAGCATGCAGTTTTCTCATCTAAACAGAAAAAGAAACGTGGCTGATCACACCTATTCATAGAGTTATTGGAAAAAGCAAATGGGTATATTAAACTTTCAGCATAGTGGCTGACATAAAGCAGACAGCCCGTAGGTCATTTTCATGTTATTATAAAAGAGTAAACCATCTCCTTACCTACTTTCTCTCCTCCTTTGCAATCCAGGGGCCTTCATTGTCTGCTGGATGCCCTTCTTCTTGACCCACGTTCTTAATACCCACTGCCAAGCATGCCACGTGTCCCCAGAGCTTTACAGAGCCACTACATGGTTGGGCTATGTGAATAGTGCCCTCAACCCTGTGATCTATACCACCTTCAATGTAGAGTTCCGCAAAGCCTTCCTCAAGATCCTGTCTTGCTGAAGGAAGAAAGGAGAACCCACACCAACCTCTAACTGCCAAGCTGTTGAGCCCCCTGGCCAGGGCCTGCTCAGAAAGACTGCAATGTCCTCTGGCATGTGGTGCAAAGATTCCTGGAAACAGGTGTCCCTGCATGGCAGATGTGACCAACTTCTTCCTACAAAACAGAATGTTCTACCTCCCCAACCAGCATCTGACTTCATTCTGACAATCAAAGGGTTGAGAGCCCTTAAAGGATAAGCAATAATTCCGAAAGAAGCTGATAAAACATGACTCTTCACAACTCACACACATACACACACACACACACACACACACACACACACACATGCACACAAAATTATCATTGGAGGCATGATTCATTATAGTGAAGGATAAATGAACAGATTTCATCCTTCTCAACTTGCAAAGGGGTCCTTTAAATCTCAGCCAGCACACCATCTTGCAGAACAGCCAGTCTCTCTTCCTTCAGACTTCCAAATGTCAGCACAACTCACCTGGTACTCTTGTGCACCCATTCTCTCTGGGTTGCTTTCTTCTTTCAGTGTACCTTGAAATATGAAAGGCAAGGCAGTGCTTCTACCTCGCTGTAGAATCTAATTGGCTAAGTTGGTGAAGAGATTCCTTACCCCAACAGAGACACTGTCCCACATTGGGACCTGTGCTTTTATTTTCGAGCCTTGCTACCCCTTTATTTAACTCTGGCTAGGGCTGGGAATTTAGCTCAGTGGTTCTGGCACCTGCCTTGCAATTGCAAGGTCCCAGTTTGATCCCCAGTATCAAAAAAACTCTCTATTTTAACTCTGGCTAAGGAGGCCCTTTGATTCTTCCCTAACTCTCTTAAGGCAATCTCAAAGTCTTAATGTCTAGAGTCATTCAAGATGCAAAAGTTAAGGAGGAATGACAATTGTCAGTGCTCAAAGTTCACCATTGAACTTTGTGATTCAGAACATACCTTAGGTATGCTTTGCATAATACTAGAAGATTATCCTAGCCAGGGCATCTTTATCTTCTGATTAACAGAGTACTTTCAGACCCTGAGACTCTCTAATGAGTGTCAGGCACCTCCTAGCTTCTGAATAAATAACAATGGCTAAGATATCTCCTGTCTTCAAGAAGTTTACTGCTTGCTCCTATGTTTGCTCATTTGCTAATCAGTCTAAGGGTGGTAGGGACTCACCCAGACTGCCAGCAGACCTCAGAGCTGAGGGCACCATGTTTGGTGGCTGTCCAGAGGCATTACATGGATACTTTGTAAAATCCTGTGAAAATCCTAAATATCACCACTTTAATGACTAAGATTAAAAGTATAACGAAAATAACTTGTAAATGCCATTCACAATTGTACTTAGAAGGAACTAAAATATTCTCACCATTCACTTCTCTGACAAAAAGCTATTTTTTATTGATTGTATAATCAAGATAAAATTTGTGGATAATTCATGAAATGTTTTCATCCTGAATGTCAATTAATTATCTTTTAAGAGGTAGTAGTGTATAGGCACAATAGATACATGTTGCAATGCTGTTAAAACTTTAAAGTGCACAAGAACTTTACAAGGAATCCAAGGCCTCTCTTGCCCAGTCTTTATTCCTCTAACCCTTAAGTTTAGAACAAGGAAACATATGTAACACTAGTGAATTAGTTATCTGTTACTCCTGAATGCTTTTAATTCCAGCATTTTAAGAAATTATTATCTATAATAATGTTTATATTGTAAATTGGCAGAAAAATTCAGTCTGCCCCCTAATACTTGTACCCTGTGGCATCCAGCTCAATAGGTTATGGTGCAGGCAAAGGTGAATCCTGGAACAATTAAAATTTGCAAAAGTAAAGATTCATGGCTCCTAGATTTTTCTATGCAAAATAAACAGAAAACAGGTAAGACAGTCGGACAAAAGACTATAGAATTATGTATCAAAATCAGAGTTTTGAAGCTAGAAATATAAACAACATAGGTATTAGTACCTTTATGAAGAACAGTGATGGTAAATATTTTGTACCCTTTCTTTAAGCAAGTATTCACCCTTTATAAAAACTTTAGGCAAGAAAAACTTGTTTTATAGATGAAGAAATTGAGGTAGAAGGAGGTTAAGACACTTGCCCCAGGTCACATGCAAAGTGACTAAGTGGCAGAACAAGGATTCACAAGTACATCCATCTCATTCCCCTACCATGCTATCAGCCATTGTGGAATACTGCATATCACCACAAAGGTGAAGGAAAGGGTGGGAAAAAAAAGGAGAGAAGAAAAAGATGAAACAAAAATCAATCCGGGGAGAAATTTCACCCTGCCCCATCCACCTGTACCCAAAGTTCATAGAACCCAACCCAAGATATTAATCTCACTCTCTTGCTATGTTCAGTTTCTAAAACAGTAGCCAGGGACATCAATATCTATTTTTGGAGAATCTTGGAACAGTCCTTAGAATGTATTTGGTTCTACTCCTTCCTCCATTTATATAATTAGGAACTGAGGCCCAGAACAATTGTTCTCTCAGTTGGTTAATCATGGCAGAGAATTACTCAAATGTGCTAAATCCTAGTTTACTGCTCATTTAACTCTCTCATACTTTCAAAAACCCTGTAAAAAATATAAACTTCATATAGAAATATAGTGAAAGTTATATTACACTTCCACCCTTAAACTGAGAGGCATCTCTTACTTAGATAATGTGTATTATCCCAAACAACATCTGCTTCAAAGATGCTTTCTTCTGATCCAGGAAGCACTTCCTAATGGAATCCCAGATACATCTCCCAAGGACCCACTTCAGTCTCTATCCTGATACCCTTCATTTTACCTCCTGTATTCTACAGTTCCCACTATGAACCAGCACACTCAACCTCAGGGCTCACTACTTTCAGAACCAACAAGGTCAAAAATCTCAGAAGAAATGTTGGCCTGAATGAAGCAGAGCAGAGTTCTTGGAGACAATTATTCTACAACATAAAGAAGTCCATACTTGCCCACTTTATTTGGGAAAAACTCAAATAGTATGAAAATCAAAAAAAATTACAACCAACATTCAATTCTAGACCTTAAGTAAACATTTCCTTCTTCTAGGACATTACTCTCTAGTAATTATTTACTAAATCAATCATTCATTTACTAAATAATGATTGACCACCTTCTATGTGTCAAGCATGGTGCTTGCTGCTGAGAAATATCATCCTGGAGGACATGATTCCTGCCTCCTAGAAGCTTTTAGTCTAGTAAGGAGATAGCATTTTTGTGTACAGTGATGGCCTGCTTGTTGTCTGTAATAAAGAAAACTCCTGGTGTTTGGAAGCCCTCTATTCAGTCTTAAGATTTCCCAGACAAGTATTGTCAGAATTGAGACATAAAAAGGTAGAAAGAGTGTTGCTTGAAGAGCATCCCTCTGAAGAGCTAAAGATAAGAACAAGCAAGGACCATGCAGGGAATTCCAAACAATTCCAACTGGCCATAAAGAAGGGGCCCTAGAGAGAGAATGGGAAAGGAAGGGGCTTCATTTCTAAAGATTTCCTGCGGCTCTGCTCTGGTGACAGATGAGCTGATTGTGCTACTTGTTTGAGAAGATCTCCAGATTGTGCCACCCCTACCCCACAAGGCACACTGCAGACCATCCACTATTTAACTGTTTCTCACTGAGCTACATGGCGATTTTAACAAATGCAGGATTCAGTTTGAATTATCTCTTTTCTCTGAGAGAGGACTGCTATTTGGATATATGTGGCATCAGAGATGGTTAACATCAAGACAGCTGAGAGACTTTGGGGTTGGAAACCAAGGGATATCAGCAGAGATGTGTTTTTATAAATGCTTGGGTCAGAACTAAACAGAGAGGAAGAAGGGTTAAGGGATTCACTCAGAACTGGCTTTTTGCTCGAAGTCTTAACTCCCAGGTCTATGCTCTGATCATTTGGTATCTGCTGACATTAGAAAACTAAAAAAACCTAATTTGAATCAATACACAGAGAGCAGGGAGGGGATGACAGGCAATTAACTTGATTCCTCCATTCTACCTAATTGTCTGCTCATCAGCTTAGGAAGGGAGTGAGTTTCCATGACTACCTTCTGACACAAAGACTCAGTGCAGGTGAAGCTAGCATCTGCTGTGTTCTGGGGCACACACTGGCAGAGGCGGAAACTAAGAGTTCACACCACGCGCAAGACCTGGGTCCTCTTGTTCCACCCACCCTCACCTGAACTAATCACCCCATCTCCATCATGTGCATGGAATGCCTGCATAGTTTCCTGGGTACAAGCAGGAGAAGCTATAAATCTCTGAGGATGGCTGCCCCTGGAGAGGGAGCTGGGCTGAACTCAAGGTGTCTCTAACCACCTTGTGGGAAAGACAAGGGATAGAAATGTACCAAGGGCTGGAGCTCTAGTGCTCACACAGACAAGTAACCTTGCACGAGTGATTTAATCTCTCAGCTGTTGTTTCCTCATGCATAAAATGGAGACCTAAGGCCTGCTCTACCTTATTACACCATTTAAAGATTAGATATAATCACAAATTAGAAGTTTTCTTTATCTATTCCTGTTGCTATAACAAAATACCACAGACTGGATAGTTTAGAAATAATAGAAATTTATTTTCTCACAGTTTGGGAGGCTGGAAAATCCAAAATCAAGGCACCAGCAGACATAGTCTCTGGCCAAGGCCTGGTTTCTCCTCCTAAAATAAGTGTCTTGTGACTGACAAGTGCCTCATCTGAAAGATGAGACAAATGCTTTGTCCTCACGTGGCAGAAAGGCAAAAGACTTAGCCAGTCTCCCCTCCCCTATTTATAAAGCCCTAATCCCATGCATAAGGGCAGTGCCTTCATGGCCTAATTACCTCTTAAAATTCTCACCTTTTAGTATTGTTGTACTAGGGATTAAGTTTCAACATGAATTTTGCAGGGGACACAAACATTTAAACCACAGCAGAAGTGTTTACTCGACTGTAAAGCCCTAAAAAATATGTGATTGCTATTACAATTGATGTTGTTATTACTTGTCCCCTAAGCAACTGTTGCTATAATATTGATCTGGCTCATAGCCCACTCAGAACCTTGTTCTCAAGTTATATGGCACAGCCTTTTCAACTTTCTATGTGAAAATCAGATTTTTCTTTTGTCTTCTGTTCTCGAAATGTGCCCGGGATTCTTTACTGACTTTGTAGTCTGATGCTAGAGGAACAGGTGGCATCTAACAGGGCACCCATTCCTGCTCACACAGCCACATTCTCAGTACATTATGATCTAATACCCAGGTTGATGATGGTACACATCATCATGCTGGCCTTGATTTCTCTGTTTCTCCCCTGATGAGGAAGTGAGGAGCAGAACATTTCTATTCTCCAAAACCGCCTGTCTCTGACCCTCATGATGTCTGAGCCTGACTCTTTCCTCACACTCCATCTATTCCTGCCTGGGAGAAGTCCCCTAGGTATGTTGTGTTAGTTTCTTAGGGCTACCATTACAAGATACCACAAATTGGGTGGCTTAACACAAGAGAAACTTATTGTATCACAGTTTTGGAAGCCAAAATCTGAAATCAAAGTGAGTGCAGGAACATGATTTCTTGAAGGCTCTAGGGAAGAATCTTTCTTTGCCACTTCTTAGGTGCTGGTGGTGGTTGCTGGCAATCCTTGTTGTTCCTTAGTTCGTGACCATGTGACTCCAGTCTCTGCTTCTGTCTTCACATGACATTCTACCTTGTTATAAAACTTCCAATATGACTCTATCTTAACTTGATTACATCTGCAAAGACTCTGTTTCATAGGATCACATTTATAGGTTGTGGGGTTTTAGACTATTTGGGAGGGATACAATTGAAACTATAAAATATGGTGAGTGTGGTCTGAAAATCAAGAGAATATGAAACATGGCTAATTTGGAAAAATATACAAAGTATTATGATTCAGGATACAGGGTTAGATTCCAGCCTTCACATGTAATTCTTTTAGTAGTCTAGGTTACATCTATAAACTTCCTGAAGTTCAACTTTATTATTAGTAAAAGTGTCAAGTCTGGATTTGTAAGGCTTTGATAAAATAGGTTAAAAAATAATTCTAAAAAAATAATATTTCTAGAAGAATGTAAATGATTCTCTAAGCTCTAAAAACCTGTAAACATGCTTATTAATAAAAGTCCAAACTGTTCAAAGACAATCATTTGTTTCTTTGCGTATTAAACTAGGAACTCAAAGGGCCGGGGATTTAGCTCAGTGGTTTCCGCCGCCCGTTGCACAAGCGCAAGGACCTGAGTTTGATCCTCGGTACCAAAAAAAGCTAGGAACTCAACAGCATATTCATTGAAGTTGGAGAAAGCTAAGTGGGAATATCATATATTTATCCTAGTCCATGCAACACCACTCCAGACTGAGAAATGGTGCTAGAGGGTGTTTATACTCTTGAGAAAAATTCATGTACTTGAGTCTTTCAGTGTGCTTCAGCAAAGTTCATGAGATTCCACATTAAAAATCCTTTTAAAAACTTGTAATTTATCACAATCTATAATCATGGGATTTGAGAATTCAAAGGACATTAACCCAGTTCCTTAGTCATTGCAGAAATTCTCTCCAAAACATCTATGAAGTATAGTCATGTAACTATGTTAAGAATCTGCCTCACTTCTTCCCAAGACATGAGATAGGAATGTCCTTAGGAATTCCCCTACCCTGCCCACTATCCAAAATCTGCCTTCTTATAAAATTCATTGGTTGTTTCCTATCCTCCTCTCCAGGACAGAGACCTCTATTCCATCTTCCCCATGACAACATTTGTGAGATTAAAATAATTCTCAGAGTTTTAATTCCTTTATCTCTACTTCAAGTATCCCTCACGATTGCTTTCCTCTGAATGTAGCCATTTTATTAGTTTCTCTCAAGGAGAACATAATTTTCTAAATGTTGTTTAACTAGTTCAGAGTGCCATAGATTCATTATTCCCCTTGATTACAATATTCAATTTTTAATGACCCAAATCAAATTGCATTGGCCTTTTAGGGCTTATACTGAAACTCTGAAAAGAAGATTTGCATACATAATGGAGAAGTTTAATGGGTTACAACTTAGGGATCAACATTTATAGGACAGTGAAGGAAGTAGGACCAGCAGAATTGGAACTGCGATTCAGTCGCACCAAAAACTCAAAGGATCCCACTGGGAGCTCTAGAGGGGGTAGGGCAGGTTTTTAGGGTCCCAGCCAGTCACTGGATGACAGCTACTTCAAGAGAGGAGGCAAGACTCAGGCAGAGGCCCTCTTCATTTGAAAGCTGTCATTGTCAACACTCCAAGCAACTAGGGAGAGGAGCAAAGTCCTTAAGGAGATCTGGGTGGCACTGCAGTATTCACCACACTCCACCTTTTACGGCGCTTGGATCTGTTAGATTCTAGAAACAGCTTCATCAGGAATTTAGCTGTTCTCTCTTCCTGTGGAATGTTAGTGGGATGACCTATAATCTCTGTCACAGTAGCTGGTCTCAAAATAATTCTCATTGTTGTCCTTTTATACTATCTATTTCAGATTACCCTCACGAATGATTAGCACTCCACTGCTCTAGGTGGTTATATTAGTCAGGATTCTTTACAGAAACTAAAGCAATAGTGTATATATTGATATAAACATACAAGAGGAGAATTATTATGGAAATTGGCTCACACAAAAACAAAAGTTGAGAAGTCACATGATCTTACAGTTGTAAATTGGAGAACCAAGGAAGCCAGAGGCATAGCACACTTCAAGTCTGCAGGTCTGAGAACCAAGGAAACTGAAGGTGTAACTCTCAGTTCTAGCCCAAAGGCCTAAGAAACTGGGAGGCCATTGGTTCAAGTCCTGGAGTCTGAAGACTAGTGAGCCTGGAACACTGATGTTCAACGGCAGAAAAAGATAGTGAATTTGTATTTCCTCTGCCTTTTTGTCCTATCCAGGCCATCAGCCAATTGGATGATGGAATCAGATCTTCTGTAGTCCACTAATTCAAATGTCACTCTCTTCCAGGAACACCCTCACAGATACAACCAGAAATAATGTTTTACCATGTAGGGAACAGGGGAAGGGGACGTTACCAGAACCTCTGCAGTAAGTCCTAGTCTCCTGCGAGCCACGGCAGCACACGGCGAATTACAGGAAAAGTAGACAAATGAGACTGAGAAGAAGCTGAGCTTTGGGTCTGATCAGTGCTGCTCTAGGCGGCAAAGACAAAAGACCCCTAGCTTGCAGCACCTTTTATTCAGTACATCCAAAGAAACAAATGTAACAAATGAATAATGTAGATTTCAGTATCATATTGGGTTGAACAAGGTGTAACAAAAGACTGGGTGGGGGCAACGGAAATCTAAGAACAATGAGGAACTATGCAGATGAAGATTTAGTTCCTCCCAGGAACTACACAGATGAAGATTTGGTTCCTCCCAGGGCGGTTCCCACAGGTGTGGTCTTGTCCTGGAGGATTACAGCATCATGGGATCATTGAGATCTCCCTTGTGACCTGAGGCCAAAATGGAAGTATGTCTTGGAGTGTTATTGCTGGCCTGTAGTCAGGAGAACTAGGCCTACTCAAACGATTTTTCCCCAGAATTATGTAGCATTGCTCCCAACATTACCACCCATCCAGATATGTCTTAATCCAGTCAAATTAACACCTAAAAGTAACCAACACAGTGACTTACCTGGTGGAGCAGCCTTGAAGGACATAGTGACTTTCATAAACTCACTGCATTTTTACCATCAAAATTAGGCAAAGGAATATAAGGAGACACCTCAGCAGATCACCCAATTCCACATGTATTGTTCCATGTTTTCATTGTATAACAATCTCCTGACCTCCAGTTACTTTTGTCAAGATACTCCATCACTTGCCTATTGGTCTCCTGACATGAGAAATTACAAATGACTAGGTAGAAGTCATAGCTTGCAGCTTAATGGGATTCTTATGGGATTCTTAATGGGATTCTCCTCCTTCAAGAATGAGCATGTTTACCAAAAAAAGTTAAATATAGCATTACTATAATACCCAGAAATTCCACTCCTGGTTATATATGCCTTTGAATTAAAGTAGGTATTTAAACAAATACTTGTACACAAATGTTTATAGCAACATTATTTACTACTTGGGTTATATATTATCCCACCCTAACAGTGGGGCCATGATGACACTTGGGAGTCCCTAACAAATACAGGCTCTGAGTTGGTGATTCACATGTAGAAAATTTACTGGAACTTTAGGATCAACAGGATCAACACCTGTCTGGGAAATTGAGCAGAGGAGAAGTGGAACCCTGATTCAGTTCTAAGAAGTGCTTCAGAGGAGTCCAGAGAGAACTGTGGATTTGATGGCCCTTCAGACTTGTCCTGCCTTTAAGTATATGAACCAGGCCTTTTATGCCTACATTGATCAAATATAAAAAGCAGCTATCTTTCAGGAGGTGGCACAAACTCCTGGTAATAGTTCTCTTCAGCTGAAAGCCAATCTTAGACAGGGACTCAGCTGAGAGCCACTGACCATTAGCTAATAATACTTCCTGTAGCTGAAGGAATTGTTGCCTTCATTGTGAAGGGAGACTCTAGACAGTGAACCCTAGTATGTACTACATGTGCACAACTAAAATTCTCAGTTGTTTTCCATTCAAGTTCTACTAAATCAGTCTCCCATCCTTTGAGCTTTTATAGTAGATTTTTGAGCCAGTGTTGCATCTTATATATGACATCTATTCAACTTGTTGATTTTATTCTAGCTAGCATGTCAATTTGCTAAATCACTTTGAATTTTAATTCTGATATTTACTATTTTAGACTTCCCTCAAGATTTGAATGATCTTCAAATGAAAGAAGACAGTAAAAGGAATGTTGTCATATTATTGATAAAGCACTGTTGCCTGGCGTGACTCCTCAAAGTCAGAGTCACACTATCCACACACAAATATACTTAAGGTTATTATTATCTAACCTGGAAGTTTCTTTCATATCAAGGAAAATGTGATGGTTAATCTTTTTTTTTTTCTACAGTTCTGGGGATTATTAGATCCAAGGCCTTCACCCTGGGCTCTATCCCCAGTCCTTTTTCTTATTGTTAAGACAGGGTCTCGGTAAATCACTAAGTTGCCCAGGCTAGCTCAAACTTGCAATCCTCCCACCTCAGCCTCTTAAAGTGTGGCCATTGCAGGTGTGTGCCAATGGTCAATCTTGATTGTCAACTTGATTGGCTTCAGAGATTAGTAAAGCACACTTCTGTGTGTGTCTGGGTGGATTATCAAAGCAGGACTTTGGAGACCTGGGGGAACTTGGCCCCTTCTCTGCCTCTTTGCAGCCTGCTCTGCTTCCCAACTGCCATGAATTGAGCAGTTTTCCTCAACCATGCCCTTCCACCATGATAACTCTGCTTTGGAGCCAGCCAACCATGAACTGAAAACTAAAACACTGAGCGAAGATAAACCTCCTCTCCCTTAAATCATGAGTGTCAGATATTTTGTCCCAGCAATGGGAAAGCTGACCAATACAAATAATATGAACAATTTGTGAAATGTATGTCAAATTCAAAATATACCATCGCATTAGTTAGAATCTCTTTGCCCCAAATGCCAGAAAACCTTGACTCAAATGTCTTATGCAATGAGGTCTATTATCACATATGAAGAAATCTATAGGTTATATGAGCTTCAGGCTGGCAGATTCAGAGATTTAGTGATCAAGATCTTTCTCTCTCTCCTCTCCGCCAATCTCAGAGGATTGCTGTACTCTTGAGCTGCCCACCCCCATTTCTGGGAGTACAAGGTAAGGAAGGAGCAGTTCCAGGAGTCATATCTGAAATAACAATGCCTGTACAGCAGAAGCACTCCTCTTGATACAGCATTTCTTTGCCTGAAACCCCAAGCAGAATTCCCTTGCATCTTATTAGCCATGATTTCATCCTGGTAAGGTAAATGGAGTACCATTATTGGCTTAGCCTTAGTCGCCTGCAGTGGAATGTATATCAAGGCTTATTTCCTGAACTCTAGTTGATAGAATCTAATCTGTTTCCCTTTGTGAAAAGCCTTCAGTCTTTGGGCAT